TTTTTTTTGGAGAGATTTTCACTGTAGGGCGCGTGCGCTCGCCAGACAGACAGAGAGAGACATAGAGACAGAAAGCGAGAAATCACCCCCCAGGGGGGATGGTCACGCCGCAATCCCTTCTCCTCCATTCTCCTCTCGGGATCTTGGGCACGCACGCACACGCGCCCGGCGTGAGTTTTAAGCCACCGGGTCCGGGACACGAACCGCGGTCGACTACGTGGGAATCCAGCGACATAGCCATTACGCTAACTGCTGGTTCCCCATCTGGCATGTTTTTCAAGCCGCTGTGTCAGGGACTGGAATGTGCAGTGGGCCATGTGGAACCCAGCTGCCTCAACTACCACACCACTGGTTGACCCACTTTTTTTCTTAAGCACACTTACTTTTTTCTTCCATAATCAAGATAGAGACAGCATCCCCTTTGAGGTCTTGATGCCATGATCTGCTCCCAGCCTCAGGCAGCCCCAGATCACAAGCACAGAGTGTTCAGTGTGCTTAGGGACTTCTCTAGATGCGAACTAAACACCTTTCCGTGTTGGTCAGCCTCACAGAGCATCAATTACCACTGTGCCCACAGTGCGGCCCCTCCAACCATACATTAAGACCATCTCACGACTTTGCGGTTTTCTTGTCTTTGAATCCTGTGCACTCCCTAGAGCAGTGCCTTACACAACTAAGAAAGTAAGGCATTTACCTTATTTGATCAGGGTGATCGAAAGCATACACCATTTTCAACATTTGCCCCAGACTACCCCGAGTTCTAGGAAAGCAAAGTGAATCCTCTTTTTTCCTTTATTTCTCCTCCCTTAACCCACAAAATGCAACTCATTACATATAATTATATTTGAGTTAATTCTCCTTAGAGAATCTAACCATCATTTTAAATCTTTTTTTTTTTTTTTGAGAGGTTTTTGCTATAGGGTGCGTTCGCTCACCAGACAGAGAGAAACAGAGTGACAGAAAGCAAGAACTCACCCCCCGGCGGGGATGGCCATGCGGCAATCCCTTCTCCTCCATTCTCCTCTCAGGATCTTGGGCACGCACGCACACGCGCCCGGCATGAATTTTAAGCCACTGGGTCCGGGACAAGAATCACGGTCGACTACGTGGGAGTCTAGCGACATAGCCATTACGCTAACTGCTGGTCCCCATTTTAAATAGCTATGAAAAAAGGCATTTGGGACAAGCAGATGGCATAATGGTTATGTCGCTAGACTCCCATGTAGTCAACAGAGGTTCAAATCCCAGACTGGCTTAAAACTCGGCGGGCACATATGCATGTGTGCCCAAGATCCCAGAGAAGAATGAAAGAGAAGGAATTGCGTACAGCCACCTCCAGGGGGTGATTTCTCACTTTCTCTCTCTCTCTCTCTCTCTCTCTCTCTGGCAAACGCACATGACCTATAGCAAAAACCTTCTAAAAACAAATAAAATAAAGATAATGCATGTACCAAAAAAAAAAAAAATTACTCCTCCTTTCGGGACCAGCAGTTGGCATAGTGGCGATGTTGCTGGACTCCCATGTAGATGACCACGGTTCGAGTCCCAGACCCCGTGGCTTAAACTCAATGCCTGGAGCGTGCCCAAGATCCCAGAGGAGAATGGAGGAGAAGGGATTGCGGCAAAGCCATGCCCCCTGTGATTTCTCGCTGTCTCTCTGGCGAGAGCACGCGCCCTACAGCAAAAACCTGCCCCCGCCCCCCAAAAAAGATAATGCATGTACAGAATGTGTAGCTGCAAATTAGTAGAATTCCTCACTATGTGTAAAAAAGAAAAATCTTAGAAAAGAAATCCCTCCCTGTGTACAAAACTGAAAATCTGCAGGGTGCTTCTCAGTGCACCCTTCTCCCTCCCAACCTTATGACCCATGAGTCTAAGGAAATCAACGAGGCACCTGCTACATTTCAGCATGGTCCAGTGGTGACAACTGAGTTCTGACTTGCAGGAGAAACTTAGGGACTGATCGTGACCCCGTCCTTGGCATGTAAAAGCGGGACGTGCTACCGTGAGCCCAGCCCCGAGGTCACCAAGCGCAGACGCCCAGCCCGCCGCTCGCCCGCAAGTCCTGGCCTGGCACAGCCTTCTTACCAATGATGGGCTTCTGGGTGACGCCGCGGTGGGGTCTGGACAGCCCGACGCTGGCCAACCAGCAGAGGAGCAGGCCCAGCAAGCACAGCAGCCGGCCCAGGCTCGCCATCGCGCTCGCACCTCCCGCCGCCTTTCAAAGGCACTGGCGGCGGCGGTGGGGCCCTGCTCTCGCTCCCGTGAGGGGTGGGCGGTGCTCGGCCGCGCGGGCCTATGGGAAATGCAGTCCCGGCGCGCGCACTCGGTGACCCCGTGAGCGGGACGCGCCCGGGCCACCTGGGCGGAGGAGGCTCCGGAAACTCCGGGGCGGGCCCCGAGTGCTCTCGCCGGCGACCTCGGGCTCTTCCCAGTCAAGTGCTGCGTCGACGTGGCCACTCCGCGACTGGGGCGGCCGCCCAGGTCCCCCAGGGCCAGCTCGGTCCCGCCTGCCGAGTGTCGTAACCAGGCAGCCGGTCGAGTTCTAGAAGTCTCCGAGAACCCTGCGCCAACTGCAGCTCCTGTTGGCGCTTCTCGCACTGCGCTTTTGATTTAGGGGTCCGGGATCTGGAGGAAGTGAGGAAGAAGGGAGACCGAGGGACCGGGACGCAGCGCCTGGCGCAGGGCCTCGTCTCAGAACTGGGTCGGGGAGTTACCACCGCGCGCGCAAGGAGCGCTAAGCCTGTTGAACCTCACAGTTGGCTCCAACCGCGGAAAACCACTGCTTGCCCCACCAGCCAGGCAGACGTGACGAGTTTGGTTTCTATTCCTCGAAGGAGATTGAGAGTTCTAAATACACGAATGTACATTTAGCGCGACTGTAACTTGTGCTGGATGGAAGTTCCCACGATGTTGGCCAAATTCAGAATAAAATTCTTCGAAGCGTTTTTGAAAACCGATTCGTCAGTGCTAAATATTGAGGATGAAAAGGTGAATTGTGCGGTGTCTCTTTAGCAAAAAAGTTTACAGTTTAATAAGAAAAAAAGATGGGCAGAGCATATGATTTGAAGAGAGAACAAGAACAAAGTTCTGGCATGTTTTAAGAATGACTGACTGAGGCCAGCAGATGGTGTAATGGTTATGTTGCTGGATTCTCACCTAGTTGACCATGGTTAGAGTCCCAGACCTGAAGGCCTAAAACTAACTGCATGTGTGTGTACCTGCCTAAAATCCCAGAGGAGAATGGAGAAGACATTGCAGGTGGCCAACCCTGGGGGGTGGGGGTTTGGTTTTTTTTTTTTTTCTCTTTTTCTGGCCAGTGCATGCACCCTATAGCAAGAAATCTCAAAAAAAAAAAAAAAAAAAAAAAAAAAAAAAAAAAAAAAAAAAAGGAATGACTGCAGCAAGTACTCTGGTGGAACAAGGAAATAACGCTGTTTTAGAAGGCTGTGATAATAGATAAGCCTTAAAGGATGTGGTGAAAGATATTGTGAAACTGCTGAGCTTGTTTTGAGCATAACTGAATAGACAGTAATTATAAATAGGAATTTGCAGTGCTGGAACAATTGACTTAATGCCTAGACAAAATGGCATTATACACAAAAAATTAACTCCAGGTGCAGTAGAGATTTAAATGTGAAAAGCAAATTTTATACTTTTGTCAGAAAATATAGAACTGTGTTTATAATCTTAATGGTTGGAAGGGTTTTATAAAAACATTGTATTAAAAAATACAAATGTTGGGACCAGCAGTTAGCGTAATGACTATGTTGCTGGACTCCCATGTAGTTGACCACAGTTCGAGTCCCGGACCCGGTGACAAACTCAACGCCAGCGTGTGTGCGTGCGTGCCCAAGATCCCCAGAGGAGAATAGTGTGTGGTGTGGCTCTCCCCCCTGGGGATGATTTCTCACTTTCTGTCTCTCTCTCTGTCTTTCTGGCAAGAGTCTTTCTCGCTGTCTTTATGGCAAGGGCGTGTTCCCTATTGCAAACCCCCCCCCCAAAAAAAAATATATATATATACAAATGTTAATGGAAAAATCAATAGATTTTGTGATTTTAAAACTTCGGGTCAGCAGGTGACATGGTGGTTATGGGGTTGGACCTCACTGGACCAACTGCCTGGTTCAAATCCCAGACAATAGCTTAAAAAACACACCAACATGCTGGGCATGTGTGAGCCTAAAATCCTGAGGAGAATGGAGAAGTAAGGATTGCAGCGTGAGCATCCACCCGGCGGGATGATTTTCACTTTCTCTAGTGAGAGTCCACAAACTCTATGGGCAAAAATCTTTAAAAAAAATAAACTTCAGTATAACTTTAATGATAGGTATAGCATTTTCTCTCTTTCACCAGCAGACGCCCCTATGACAAAAGTCATATAAAAAAGAAAAAAAAATTGACAAATCATTTGGAGCGCCTAACCATGCAGCTGGCAGGTGGATGGCTGATAGGGCTCTGCTGTCTGGGCTTTCTCTCTGTCTTTCACCAGCAGAAGCCCCTATGACAAAAGTCATATAAAAAAGAAAAAAAAAATTGACAAATCATTTGGAGCGCCTAACCGTGCAGCTGGCAGGTGGATGGCTGATAGGGCTCTGCTGTCTGGGCTCAGCTCGCTGCGGTGGCAGAGGCTGGAAGGACCTGTCACAGGGGTCAAGACCAGTGCTGCTATAACTAAGAGATCCCAAAAAAGCTCAGCTAGAAGCCATTTAAATCTGAGGTGTCTCCTGCCGTGTTCTGGGACCAAGGTGACTGACTCTGCTCTAAACCCCATCTTCCAGACCCCAAAAAAGCTCAGCCAGTGCCCATTTAAATCTGAGGTGTGTCTTGTTGTATTCTAGGAGGCTACTGATAGTTCCAGAAATCTTCTCTAAGCAATTAGCCTGAAGTGAATATACTACCAAATAGCTAACATTCAGAGAAGAGAAACTGCAGAGTGAGCCCCTGGGAGAAGAACAGAGCTGCAGAGTGTGCAGCTCATCTTCTTCCACATGCCTCGGAACTCCCAGTTGAAACCCTGCAAGTCAACACAGGTGCACCAATTCCCTAGAATCTGTGAGGCCTTTGCAATATCCAGTTCCAAGGTCAAAAGCCAGGTTGCTTCATGAACATCAGGGAAATGGAACTGCAGAGAGATTGTGGGTCACCTCCCGCATTCCTCTGAATGCTTAGAATTAACTCCAAGAAATTAAGAAGAAACATATAATTCATCAGATGACCAGAAATCACCACAGAGGCCCAAGAAATGTGAGAAACCAAGAAAATATCTGTCTCCCAAGGGAAAAGAACAATCCTTCGTCATCCACAGACTGTACAATGGAACTCGTGGAAATGTCCAATAAAGAACTCAGAATATTTGTAGTGACAAAACTAAACAAGATGCAGGAGATGAGAGACAATGAACTCCAGAAAATGCAAGAAAAAGAGACAGTGGGTTCCAGGAAATTCTTTCACAATTTGAAGAAATACATGCCATAAAAAAGAATCAAACAGAGCTGTTAGAGATGAAGACTGTAATACAGGAAATCAAAACCTCCCTCAAAAGTATGATAAGCAGATTAGACCATGCAGAAGATCAAATCTCAGATGTTGAAGACAAAACCTCTGACATAGAAATATCACCAAAAAGACTGAGAAAACAACCCAAAAACATGAGCATAAAAAATGAGAAATACTAGATACCATTAAGTACTGTAACAGCCAGATAATTGGTATCCCAGAAGGTGAAGAAACTAATAAGGGCACTGATAATTATTCCATGAAATCCTGGAAGAAAACTTTCTAAACCTAGAGAGGCACTCAGATATCCAGACCCAAGAAATACAAAGGACCCCTAATAGAATCAATCCAAAAAGATCTTCTCCAAGGCACATTGTAGTCAGATTGGCCAAATCCACAGACAAATACAATACACTAAAATTGGTAAGAGAGAAATGTCAGGTTACTTAACAAAGATTATTTGGGGTCAGCAGATGGCGTAATGGCTACGTCACTGGATTCCCATGTAGCTGACTGCGGTTCAAGTCCCAGACCTGGTGGCTTAAACTCATGCTAGGCATGTGTGTGTGCATGCCCAAGATCCCGAGAGGAGAATGGAAGAGAAGGGACTGTGGTATGGTCATCCCCCCGGGGGGTGATTTCTTGCTTTCTGTCTCTCTGTCAGTATAACTTTAAACAAATGATAGGTACAACACAAACTTGGAAAATGTTTTTATAAAATACAGTATTTCAGAAGTATTTCTAGAATATACAAAGAAATAAATAAGGACAGCAGCATAATAGAAAAAATCAGGAAAGACTATAAAAAGCAAACCAAACTTTTACTACATCATCAGAGAATGCAAATTAAGTCAAAATAATATGTCATATCCATTTGATTGACAAAAATTTAAGCCTTTGCTAAGTCAAGAATATAATGAAATGAGAATTCCCTAACACTGCTAGCAGAATTATAAATTATTACAACTCTTTTTGAGAGCCAGAGCTGGTAAAGATGAAGATCCACGAGAGTCAGTAAGTGGTGTGGTGGTTAAGGTGCTGGACTTCCATATGGCCAAGTGTTCAAGTCCTAAACCTGTGACTTGAAAATTACACTGGGCACATGTGCATGTGTACTCAAAATCCTGAGAGGGGGATGGAAGAGAAGGGATTGTGGCATGATCATCTCCTTGGGATGATTTCTCACTTTCCTTCTCTCTCTCTCTCTCTCTCTCTCTATCTCTATCTCTATCTCTATCTCTATCTCCCCTCCCTCCCTCTCTCTCTTGTGTGCATGCTCTATGGCAGAAACCTTTAAAAAAAAAAGGATGAAGATCCATGTATTCTGTAAACCAGCACTGTTCAGATATAGGTATATACCCTAGAAGAACATGCAGATGTGAGTAAAGAAATATGTACAAGTATGTTTTGTGCTGCTGTTTTCACTAATAGTGAAATATTTAACATAATCTTAATCACCATCAATGAAAGAATGCATAAATAAATTATATGTTTAATTAAGGTATCAGGATTTGTGAAAATAAATGGATTTGGGCTACTTATTAACAGAGCTAGCAGGAGATAACAAATAAATTGTACTTGAGTCTAAAGAATAATTTTTTCTGTTTGAGCAGGAATAATCTCCTCCCAAATCTGTGAGATATATGAGGACTTCAAATAAAACTACACATGATCCATGCCTTCAGCAATACTAGAAAAGAGAGGATACCATAAACATCAAATTGCCAGAAAACAGGTAACTACCAATTTCCAACAAAACGTCCTCCACTGCTCTAAGTCTTTGGGTATGAAGAATGTGGGAGACAAAGCTTCAAAGAATCTTTGAAAAAGAAAAGGAGTGGATTACATAGCAAAAGTATAGGCAAAATTGAGTCCTGGGGACCAGCAGTTAGCGTAATGGCTATCTCGCTGGACTCCCACGTAGTTGACCGCGGGTCGCATCCCAGACCCGGTGGCTTAAAACTCACGACGGGCACGTGTGCATGCGTCCCCAAGATCCTGAGAGGAGAATGGAGGAGAAGGGATTGTGGCATGGCCATTCCCCCTGGGGGGTGATTTCTCGCTTTCTGTCTCTCCGTCTCTCTCTGTCTGGTGAGCACACGCGCCCTATAGCGAAAACCTCTCAAAAAAAAAAAAATTGAGTCCTGAAAGAAAATGTCAAACATTGTGCCAAATCACCAAATAAGCCTAGGTCTTGATAGGTTCTAGCACTGGCTACAGGCAAGGGATTCGAAGTTGAGACCACAGGTGACAGCTTCAAGTAAGTATTGCTTCTAAAGGTAAATCAACTACATTGACAAGTGTAGACATGGCAATGAAGAGAAAGAAGTGTAAATGGAAATAACCAAGCTCTGCAGAAATATTAATTAGTATGATTTATTCTAAGCATAAGATTGAGTGACCTTAGGCCCAGAGAAGGACAAAAATGTTTTTCAGGATGCTGAGATACAGTGGTTCCTGAGATCAGGAAAGTTGTCAATCAGCATAAGGCAGTGTTTACATTAACCTGACCCAAAAGGTAGGACATCTGGAAGCAGAGGTTTGTAGGCTACAGGTGAGTTTGAAATTCTTAGATTAGTAATTGGTTAAAGAAAAATACAAATCTTTGTTCCTGAAAGAAATAAGCAAAAGAATGTCTGTGCTTTACTCTGAGAGAATCAGAAGGCTTACAAAGCACTATGCCAGGGACAGGGTTTAGCATACTACTATCAATGGACCAGAGTGGTCAGTAGGCGTCTATTAATGTTTGTATGTGTGACCTTCCCAGGCCCTCTGGAAACAAATTTGGAATAGGAAAAAGTAGTCAGAATTCTGTCTTCAGAAGTAAGGGAAGAATTAAAGCACTTGTGGAAACAAAAGAGACAAGTCATAATAGCCACCCCTCATCCCCACATATATACTGCTGCCACCACTAAAAACAATCTATTAAAGGAATTACACTTCATTACACTAATAGAAAAAAAAAATGATTCAACCAAAAATATGTCAAAAACAGGATTATAAAAATAAAATTAGAATTAGCGTGTAGCCCGGTAGTTAAGGCAGCTAGGTCCTGTATAGCTGACAGCACAGTTTGAATCCCGGATGTAGCGGCCTGAAGAACACACCAGGTACTTGTGTGTTCATGCCCAAAATCCAGAAAGGAGGTAAAATGGAGGAGAGTTTGTGGCATGACCTGGCTTCAGGTGGGGGAGACAACGCTTCAGTGAATCTTTTCATCACCATCCCAGTCTCTCTCTGGTGAGAGCACATGCCCTCTGCCAAAAATTTAAAATAAAATGAAATAATTTAAAAAAATAAAGTTAGAAACAACACAATACAAAATTGCTGTTCATCAGAAGATGAATTGTAACATTTCACCTAACAAAAATTCTTATCCCCTAAAAATACTTAAAAAACAAAAAAGACAAAGCTCCAAACTAAAATTAAATATTCTAAACAACCACGAGATAATGTGTCTGTGTGTCTATGTGTATCAAATCTAGAATCAGAAATTCAAAACCTGAGGACAAAAATGTACAAAACGACAACAAAAAAATCCCACTGGAGTTGATAAAATTGGGAAAAAAACTTGAAGAAAACTACAAAGTGTCTCAGAAGTGAATAAATTACTTCTGTGTAAAGAAGAAAAGATGGTTCAAATGGAAATTTAATGTAAGTGAAGAAGAGAAGGAATCAACAAAGGAGCTATAAACAAAACAAGTAAAAACAGGTCAGAAAGAAAGGGCTAGAAATGGATGTCAGGCAATGAAAAAAATCTTAACATGTTATGCAAGTCCTTGTAGAAGAAGGAAATACAGCAATAGAATGGGACTAGTTATATGATTCAACCAAAAATATGTCAAAAACAGGATTATAAAAATAAAATTAGAATTAGCGTGTAGCCCGGTAGTTAAGGCAGCTAGGTCCTGTATAGCTGACAGCACAGTTTGAATCCCGGATGTAGCGGCCTGAAGAACACACCAGGTACTTGTGTGTTCATGCCCAAAATCCAGAAAGGAGGTAAAATGGAGGAGAGTTTGTGGCATGACCTGGCTTCAGGTGGGGGAGACAACGCTTCAGTGAATCTTTTCATCACCATCCCAGTCTCTCTCTGGTGAGAGCACATGCCCTCTGCCAAAAATTTAAAATAAAATGAAATAATTTAAAAAAATAAAGTTAGAAACAACACAATACAAAATTGCTGTTCATCAGAAGATGAATTGTAACATTTCACCTAACAAAAATTCTTATCCCCTAAAAATACTTAAAAAACAAAAAAGACAAAGCTCCAAACTAAAATTAAATATTCTAAACAACCACGAGATAATGTGTCTGTGTGTCTATGTGTATCAAATCTAGAATCAGAAATTCAAAACCTGAGGACAAAAATGTACAAAACGACAACAAAAAAATCCCACTGGAGTTGATAAAATTGGGAAAAAAACTTGAAGAAAACTACAAAGTGTCTCAGAAGTGAATAAATTACTTCTGTGTAAAGAAGAAAAGATGGTTCAAATGGAAATTTAATGTAAGTGAAGAAGAGAAGGAATCAACAAAGGAGCTATAAACAAAACAAGTAAAAACAGGTCAGAAAGAAAGGGCTAGAAATGGATGTCAGGCAATGAAAAAAATCTTAACATGTTATGCAAGTCCTTGTAGAAGAAGGAAATACAGCAATAGAATGGGACTAGTTATTAAAACTATAATCTAAGAAAACCTGTAAATAAGAGAAAATTTATCAAATTGCCCTGGTATAATTAACTCTGAAACTTATCCTAGTAAAATTATAAAATAAAGAAAAAGAAAAACTGTCAAGGTCACCAGACAAATCATTTACTTATGAGGGTTAGAATATTAAGATAGAGACCAGCAGATGGCATAATGGCTATGTTGCTGGACTCCTATGTAGTCCCAGACCCAGTAACTTAAAAATGCCAGGTGTGTGTGCATGCATGCCCAAGATCCTAAGAGGAAAGATGAGAAAGGATTGTGGCCTAGCCATCCCTTGGGGGTGATTTCTTGCTTTCTGTCTCTCTGGCAAGTGCACATGCCATATAGCAAACACTTCTCTCTCAAAAAAAAAAAAAAAAAAAGAATATTAAGACAGTCTTAGGGTCCAGCAGGTGGCATGGTGGTTAAGACATGGATTACCATGTGGCTAACTATGGTTCAAGTCCTGTACCCAGAGACTTGAAAATCATAGCAAATAAATAGATAGATAAATAAATAAATGTTAATTAAAAATAGTGTTAGACTTTTCAGTAGCAGTACAAAACTCATGACAAGGCCAGCATGGTGGTGAATAAGTCACTAGATTATAAATGTCCGCTCTGTAGTTCAAGACCCATATCCAGTGACCTGAAAAATACACTGGATGTATGTACATACGTACCCAGAATCTCAAAAGGAGACTAGAGGAGAAGCCACTGTGGCATAGCCATCCCCCAAGGGAATGATTTCTCATTTTCCCTCTTTCTCTGTCTCTCTCAGATGAGTGTACATACTCTATGATGAAAAATAAAACATAAGACAATAATGGAAACAGCATTATTATAAACAAAAACATTCTCAAATTCTTAACTTTATATGTAGCCAAGGTGTACCTCAAGTATGAGAGCTATAGAACCACAGTTTTAAACAAGCTGTAACTGAGGAAATACTATACTCACAGGACTTTAGTGGAAAACCAACTAGAAGATGAACTTCAACCAAATGAAAGATGACTGGGAAAATTTAGCAAAGTAACTGACAGTGAGCATTTAACATATTTAATAACTGACCTGAAACTACAGGAAGAGTGGAAATAGAGATCAAAAATTGAAATGTAAACATCATGTATTCTGCCAAGTGAAGCAATGCAACGGAAGAAATGAGAGGACAAGTGGGAGATAAAGGGGAAAGTAAGATGAGATCATCAGCTGTGTATAGGAAACACATAGATGTCAAAAGACGCAACTCAAAACTGACCAACCAGCTGCATGGCACGACAGGAATGTGCTGCTCAAGAGAAGCTGGATCCTACATGGTGGCTATGGTTCAAATCTTCAAATTCCCAGGCTGTGGTTGAGATAGGCCTGAAACGCACTGGGCATGCACACAAGCGCCAAATACTCCTCAGACTGGAGGACTGAAGGAAGGGGATCACTGCTTCACAGTGTGACTAGGCCTTGTGGAGTATGTTCCTCTCTGTCTTTCTCTCTTTTTTCATTGCATGTGCACATGCTCTATGATGAGCAGCATGAAAAACTGATCAGCCAAGGAGAAAAAGAAGATAGGAGTGAAGAATATGATTAAAGTTCTAAATATCTGCGCCTATACATATAGATGATTGATTGATTTATAGAAATAGAGATAGCTCAAACAGAGATATTACTAGGGGAAAAATATTAGTGACAACCCACCCTCTCAGTATAGGTCATGAGTATCACCAGAGAGACAGAGGAAGAGGAAAAATGAGAAATCACCCCCTCCCCCCTTGGGGGATGACCACATCACAATTGTTTCTCCTTCAGTCTTTTCTCAGGATTTGGGGCACACATGTACATGTGCCAGGTATGATTTTCAAGTTTTTGGGTCCAGGACTCAAACCATGCAGTCAGACATGTGGTATCCAACACCTTAGCCTCCAGGTCACCTGCTGGCCCTGTGAAGCTTTTTTGTAGTTATACAACTGACAAAAAAAAAAAAAAAAGTTAAAAGTTACAAAAATACAAAATGGTTAGATTTTCCACCAGGAGATGTGCAGAGATTGGA